TGCAGTATCTGCCGGCCTTTTCCCGATACGAAATGACTTGAGCACTTCAAATGCATTGCTTCATTTACGACCACCAGCGATTAATGTGGGATCTGATAATTGATTTAGACTGTATATCAACTACGTCTTGTAAATACTGCATCCCTGGCGCCATCATCACACTTATCCGCGGCTGTCTCTAAGGATGGCTTCGACCGAGACTCCAAAACGACTGGCCAATAAACGTCATGTTCCAGCCATCGCGTATTTTTCTTCTGAACTACTTCCTGGGACACGCCTGTTTGCTTCTATCAGTCTACGAACTACTGCCATTCTCCATCTCCTGTAATGATCCAAAGATCCGTTTGGTTATTTGTGTGGGCACGCGACAACAGACATAAAACTGACTCCGGATACAGAGTGCGATTAACAGCGGCGTTAAAACGAAATCAGACTGGTATCTCGCAGAAGATGCGGCTTTCTGTCACGCGCCCCAACGTGTGCGTTAATGGTTGCGTGCACAGGGCGCGTTTAGGGAATATTTTGCGTCCAATCTCAGATAATCTAATGGACTTTATTTGATCATTCAAATAGGGATATAAATCGATTCAGCTGAAGTCAGGGACCTATTCTCCTTGCCATAAGTAGTCCAACATTTTTAACTTACAATGACGAAACACAGGCTTTAGCTGAGGTAGACAGTAAGCTAAAATAGCTTCTAGTTACTAAGGGTCTTTCTCTAGTGCTTCAGTTTACTTATTGGATTCGACCGGACCTCGACCCCGTCAAAGTGACCTTATTATGCGTACCCTTGAAGACATATGTGGTGATTGATTTATTTTCTAAATTACCCGTCTGAAGAAATGCATTTTCGCATGCCTTTAGGCCATAACGTTTTCCTTTTTTTATTGAATTTTTTTAACTATAATAAATGTTACCCATAGTTCATTTGACACAATTTTAAAGAGCTCGACGGCCTCTGTAGCACTAGATCTCAGGCCATAAATGGTAGGGCTTTTGCACAGCCAATGCCCTAGCCAACTGAGCTACGATGCCGTCGACGGGGGCCGTAAGTTTAATTACATTTTTTATTAAAATCTGTAAACTTTTGCATTATATCCGCCGTTTGCGTTCATATCGCACACCGCAAGCCCTAGTCTGGCTATTTATAGATGCCTGCATTCTTCCCCTCATTCTTTACTGCTCCCCAGTTATTTTTCCAGCTTTACTTAAAAAAGACCTGGTCAATCTTAAACGTATCCTCCGAATGCTCTCTTTAGCTGCAGGTGTTTCCTATATTTTTTAGCTGACATTATAGTACAGCGCCACTTTAAAAC